CTGCTAGACGCTCAGCTTCTAGAGCAGGACAAGCATGGAGTCCTGGTGTGGTGCTGCACGATCATCATTGGGCTGATGACCACGAGGTCAGTGGTTCAAACCCACCAGCCACTCCTCAGAAAACATAGACATGGTCTATAAGTCAGAACCAACTAAATCAATGACACTAACAACAGGGATAAGCACTGAACTGCTAACCACAAGGTTGGTGGTTCAAACCTACCAGACACTCAGTGGGAGAAAGGTGAGGCTTTCTGCTCCTGCAAAGATTTACAGGTGCAGAAATGCTATACAGGGTTGCTATGAGTCAGAATCGACTAGATGGCACCTAGTGGCTCAGTGATTAAGCACTCAGCTGCTAACTGAAATGTCAGTGGTTTGAACCCACTAGCTGCTCCACAGGTGAAAGATGTGGTCATCTGCTTCTTTAAGGATTGTTATTGTTGCCAAGTGCCATCAAGTCGATTCCAACTCATACCGACCCTGTACAAGGTTTCCAAAAAACAGCTGGTGAGTTTGAACTACCAACCTGTGGTTCAGTGCTTTATCCCACAGCACCACACCAGGACTCCAAGGTTTGATAATCTATTACAAATCAAGGCAGAGAGGTCAGCTCAAAAGGCTCTGGCTAACTGCTTTTATTTTTTTTTAAGACTCCCAAGGGGTCATCTTGATAGATATTCTTGAAGGATGCAGAAGGGGTCTTATCATAAAGAAGTTTCCATAAGATGGAAAATTACATTGGTGAGAAAAAGGCTAGGAAAAGTACATTGGGGAATTTTTTTCCATCACTACAAAGTGCCTGCTTGTCATCTATCCTAAGGCCCTGATCTTGCCCCTGCCCCCTAACTGTCTTCTTGTTTCCCAAACTCACAGAACATCTAAAAAGAACAATTTGAGTCCCTGAGGACAGCAAAACTTCTGTTTGGATGTGGTCTAAATCAACAAGCAAGAGTGCAGAGTTCTTTGTGGAAGAGTTACAAACAAGGAAACATCATCTTTAGCTGTGTATAGCTCAAAAGTAAATGTATAGACTTAAATAAATGGAGGATATAGTGAGAAACAGTAGCTTCACATTTTGATATTTTTGTTTAATAAAGGTTCCCCTTAACAACAACATGATTCTGTAGCAGTACATTTGTAGTTACTCTTGTATTCCCAGAGCTGATTTTGTAACTTAGTTATTTTTCATTTCTGACGCATTTTCCCAGAGAAACAATGTTACAAATGATACTTAAATTCCAAGGAACTCCACTAAGAATGGTGGCGGTGGTGGTTATGTGCCGTGGAGTTGGTTCCAACTCATAGCCACCCAGTACAGGGTTTCTGAGGCTGCGAATCTTTACAGGAGCAGAAAGTCTCATCTTTCTCCCGCAGAACAGCTGGTAGTTTCGAACTGCTGACCTTAAGGTTCGCAGCCCAATTCATAACCACTACACTACCAGAATATTGTGCACATAATGCAGCAATAAAATGAAGATAAGTAATGGTATAGAATAAGAACACTTCAAACTATTTTAAATATTGTATGTAGTTTGAGGAAGTGTAACTTAAACTGGAAGGAGCTCTGGTAAGTGTAATGGTTATAAATCCAGCTGCAAACCTCAAGGTCAGCAGTTTGAAACTACCAGCTGTTCTGCAGAAAAAAGATGAGGCTTTCTGCTCCCATAAAGATTTACAGTCTCGGAAACCCTGTACAGGGTCGCTATGAGTCGAAACCGACTCCACGGCACATAACCACCAACAACAACTTAAACTGGAAGCCCAGATGGCATGCGGAATATGTTGGGACAGCCCCCCAGGGGAATTGAGTCCTTTCAAGAGCTGTAGAGCCTGTGAGTTCTAGAAGTCACTGCCTACTGCCTCCAATGTAAGATATATGTATTTCTATCCCTTGGTACAATCGGATCCCTTATATTGTTTTACAATCAGCAAGAGCATTATTGTTTGCTTGGTGGGCAATAAGTAACTGCCATTTTGGTCCACAAAATAGGAGGGTAGGCACAAAGGAAGAAGGGATGAAGAAAATTTCTTGTATGTAATGAACAGAGTGGGAAGAAATCAGCATGTCATGAATAGCAATCATTTGTTATCCTGTGCCACAGTACACAGAATAAATGTAGGTGGCATTCTTCAAGGGCTTAGCGAAGTGGTTATGAGTTGGGCTGCTAACCCCAAGGTCAGTAATTGACACTACCAGCTGTTCCATGGGAGAAAGATGAGGCTTTCTGCTTCCATAAAGATTTACAACCTCGGAAATCCTATGCAGGGTCTCTCCATGAGTGGGAAATGACTCTATGGCACACCACCATCACCGTTTACAAAGGGAGTAAAATCTACACACAGAAAGAAAAAGAGCTACTAGCAAGATACGTTGGGCCAATTGCAATAATATGTGGCCCCCACCATTCCTTCCACAACCCCCTCTACTCCCCAGTTGGGTTTGATCATTCATTGCAAAGGCCACACAGGACGCAGACACCACACTCAGTTATGGGGTTCAAAAGGGAAGTTAACAGGTTACAATTTGTGGTCAGAAATGCTCAGCACACCATTTTTCCAGTTGTTGTTAAGTGCTGTGGAGTTGGTTCCAACTTACAGCAACCCTGTTTTAGGTTTCCAAGTTGCTGCTGCGGTGGTGATGTGCTGTAGAGTCGGTTCCGACTCATAGTGACCCTGTTTCCAAGGCTGCAAGTCTTTATGGGAGCAGAAAGCGTCTTCTTTCTCCCGCAGAAACTGCTGGTAGTTTCGAACTGCTGAACTTGCAGTTCACAGCCTGACTCATAACCACTATGCTGCTAGAGCTGCTGGTGGGTTTGAATTGTCGAGTTTGTGATTCACAGTCCAGTGCTGATTCTACAACACGCAGCAGGACTCCAATGCCCACAGGACACACCACTGCATTATAATCCTCAGCCTGAAGGCACTTGGCTCTAGCTCTGTGGGTCAGCAAACCAAGTGCCTCCATTAAAGTGCCTGCAGGCACCCAACTCAACAAGCAAGCTGCCTGCCCAACTACGTTCAGTTTTACTTGCTCTGTGGGCAGGGAAGTCCCCTGCTCTGTCCCATACTCGGGTTCTTGGTTGCTGCTGCTCCTCTGCCCCTCCTCCAATGTTACAAGTTTCTGTCCCTGGGTCAAGGAGGTTCAATGTGCAGGGATCTTGGGGTCCAGATTATTCCTTAGTATACTAGGAGTTTCTGCATACTATAGATCAATTATAATTGATCATACCCTCACTGTTGATCTTGATGACATGTGTATAATTAGACAAATCTTACCAAAAACAAAACAAACCCTCCCAAACTAGTTGCTATCAAGTAAATTCTGACTTACGCAGATACCATATGTGTCAGAGTATAACTGGCCCGTGTGGTGTGGCGCTGTAGGATCAGCACTGGACTGCGAACCACAAGGTCAGCAGTTCAAACCCACCAGCTGCTCCTTGGAAATCCTATAGAGGGTTACTATTGGTGGAAATTGGCTCGGCAACACATAACAGAACAGCAACAACATTATACAATTTTAAATGGCTGATGTTTTGGCCTGTTTTCTGAGATGCCTCTGGGTGGACTTGAACTGGCAATCTTTCAGTTAATCACTGAGCGCTTAACTATTTGTACCATCAAAGGACTCCGGATGAATTTTACTAATTCCTAAAGAAGGAACTTCTGAAATATCTGTCTCTCATAAACAAAGGTGTCCTGGTGTGGCCCTGTGGATTAATGTGCCAGACTGCAAAACCCTTTGAACTGCAAGGTCGGTGGTTCAAGCTCACCAGCTACTCCTCGGAAACCCTATACAGGGTCGCTATGGGTCTTAACAACAACAACGATATAAACAAAAGTGTCAAGATTCATTTCATTCTTAACTATTGTCATTCCCTTCTTTCTCTTCTTCCTCTAGCTTTTATTTACTGTTTGACTCTCAGTGAGGGCACTTGAAAGTACATCTTCCATAGATAAAAATGCAGTTGTTAGAACACTGTAAGGGGATACGTGTGCATCAGCATTATAGCCTTTCACCACATTTATTCAATCAGTATGCTGAGCAAATAATCTAAGAACCTGGATTATATGAAGAAGAATGAGGCATCAAGATTGGAGGAAGATTCATTCACAACCAGCGATGTGCAGAATATACAACTGGAAGCAAGAGGACTTAATATAGTTAGTGATGAAAATCAAAGACTTCAATATGAATTGGGCCTCAATGGGAAAAATAAATCAAATCCTCACAATTAGACCAATAAATAACATCATGATAAATGGAGATGGTATCAGGAGGGATTAGTCCTTGGAAGGCAACATGCTTGGTAAAGTGAAGGGTCAACGAAAGAGGAAGGCCCCAAATGAGATGGACTGGCACAGTGGCAGCAATGGGCTCAAGTGTGACAACATTTGTGAGGACGGCTCTGTTGGGCATAGGTTGCTATGAATCAGAACCAACTTGATAAAACCTAACAACAGACTAGATCCTCTGCCCATTCTAACCTTAAACATTTGATTATAGCATTTCGCAAAAGGGCAATCTAAACGAAACCATGATGACAAGACTTAATTATATTGCACAAATGAAACTGCGGTGCCTTCCAAATTATCACAGATAATTCAGTGACCTAGTTTTTTGGTTTTTTCCTTAGAACAAGGTGACTGTCTTGCTCTCAGAGCTATTTTAGACACTGAGATTTGTCTAGAAAAAGTGGTGTGTGAAATTGAAGATTTTTCTTAAATTAAAAAAAAGTGGCCAGAGCCTCAATAAAATCTTTTCGCTATCTCCTTGGAGTGAAAAGGTTTTCTGGGTAGCCACAGAAAGATGAAAGCTTATCTTGTTACCCTTCCCGGAGTTTATATGGCAGGAAAGTACTGGGAGGCTCTTAACCCGCAGACTAATACTTCGGGGTCCCACTGCACTGCAGAAGCAGCCCCTGGTGTCCAGTGATTCCCCCGGAGCTTGGGCCAAGGGAGGAAGCGGGGTAGCCACACTTCCGGTATCCCGGCTGCGCGCTCGCCACACTTCCTGTTGATCCGGGTCGGCTGAGCGCTGGGCTGGGCTGGTGCGCGGTGGACACTGACTAGGCGTGGGCGCGCGCGAGGCTGCTGCCGGCACTGAGCGTCCGCCTCCTCGCCTAAGCAGCGTCTCCGGCAGCGCCTCCCGCCTTCCGTCCTTCCATCCGCCCCTCGGCCAGGCCGCGCAGCATCATGCCCGCCGTGGACAAGCTCCTTCTGGAGGAGGCGTTGCAGGACAGCCCCCAGGTACCTCCCGCAGGGTTGAGACCACGGAGGCCCCTCCAGCCCTCGGGGTAGAGGCTGCCCCCGCCCAGCACCCCTCAGGGTCCCTCGGGACTGAGGAGGGGGCGGGCCCGGCTGTGCGGCCGGCAGGGGACACCCGCAGGCTAAGCTGGAGAACCCGGGAAAGACCCTCCCGGCGGGAGTCATTGTGTCACGACCCCCCCAAACACAGCCGAAACGGAGACCGCCGGCATATACCTTAGCTTCTTTGTGCCTCGGTTTTGTCATCTGTTCCAAGGGAGTAATACGTGTACCTGCCTCGTGGGGTTGTTCCAGACCCAAGCCCACTGTGATCCAAGGATCCGGACTCCCAACAGCCCTGTAGGACGGAGTAGAACTGCCCCCATAGAGTTTCCAAAGCTGTAATCTTTACGGAAGCAGGCTATCACAGCGAGGATCTCCCAGGAAGCGGCTGGTGGATTCGAACCTCCGGCCTTTAGGTGCTTGTTGTTGTTAAGAGCCGTCGAGTCGGTTCCAACCCATAGCGACCCTGTATAGGGTTTCTGAGGAGTGACTGGTGAGCTTGAACCGCCAACCTTGCGGTTCGAACGGCTTTGCAGTCTGGCGCATTAACGCACAGCGCCATACCAGGACTCCTTAGGTTTTAGCCGAGTGCTTTAACCATGGTTCCACCAGGGCTCCCGTGTTTGTTGTTGTTAAGTGCCAGTGAGTCGGCTCCGACCCATAGCGACCCTGTAGAGGGTTTCCAAGGAGCAGCTGGTGAGCTTGAACCACCGATCTTACAGTTTGAACGGCTTTGCAGTCCGGCGCATTAACGCACAGCGCCACACCAGGACTCCGTGGGGTTGTTAGGAGTATTCAATCAGAAAGTGCCTGTACAACTATCAGTGGACAGAGCCTGGTTTACATTAAGAAGACTAACTTTATTATTAGTCTTACTGCTACTAGGAGTCCTGGGGTGGCGCCGTGGGCTTATGCGCTGGACAGCAAGGTCGTTTGAACCTCAAATTTGGTGGTTCAAGCTCACCAGCCTCTCCTCAGAAACCCTATACAGTGTCACTGTGGGTCGGAACCGACTCGCCGGCACTTAACAACAACAAAAGGATCCCTAATAGAGCCCATAGTGTGGTGATGCAGGATAAGCATTGGACCACAGCGTCGGCTTTTATCGCAAGGTCAGCGGTTCAAACTCACCAGCTACTCCTCTGAAAACCCTATACAGGCCCGCTATGAGTTGGAACTGCCCCGATGGCAGTTAACAACAGCAGTAGCCTTGAGAGTGTTGGGCTGCTAACCCCAAGGTCAGCAGTTAGAATCCGCCAAATGCTCTGTGGGAGAAAGGATGAGGCATTGTGCTCCTATAAAGATTTACAGCCTTGGAAACAAGGTGACTGCACAGCACACTAATGTGGTGAAAAGCAGGAAATCTGAATCTCGTTCCCAACAGTACCAGGCTCATCTGTGACAAATAAATTACAGTGACTGTGCCATTTACCACACAGGGGTACTTCATTAGAACAGTTGAGATGTAAGTTAAGTCTTTAGAGTGATACAGATGAACGCTGGTGTGTAAATACAGGAAAGAGCACCCAATAACATTAGTCCGTAACTCCATTTGTTTCTTCAGGGAACTGTTCTTCATTTAACAGTTCCCCCACTTCACAGCTATCCTCCTGGTTCCTATCCTTGAGCCATTTAAATCTCTATTCCCTAGTGCCCAACTCTGAAAGATTAGAAGGGAATTAACTTGTTTTCCTTTCTCTTGATTTTTGGTTCTGTTCCCCTTATCTCTTGAGTGTATTGTACCGCTCAAGTGCTCTTTAAAGGATTTACCTACATCTTCGTGGTATCTCCTCTGCTCAGAATAAGTTGTCAAAGGATGGTGTAGTTTGTTTTTTTGAGCCCACTTCCTTGTGAACCTCCATGTTCTCTTCCCCGCCCCCACCCCCACCCCCACTTTTAGGCAAAGTCACATCCACTGGTCTGATTGGCTTTTCAAAGACCTCTTTTATGCAACTGTGGTCGTCTGGGATTTTAATCAAAGAATGAGAGACCTTGGTAGAAAGCCTTTCATCCATCTTCACACCTCCTGTGTGGAGTCTGAAAATCAGAGTGTGGAATTTTTAAAGATCTTTATGAACTAGGATTCCTGTTTGCTTTGCATTTGAGGAAACTGAGATGCAAAGATCCATTGCCACCCTAGACGAGTGTGAAGGTTGAACCAGGTTAGAGAGGTTGAGCTGTACAGGTTCCCCAAGCTGTCCTCACTGATAAAATCACTTGAGACTTTTAAGGTGTCGCTTAAGTGAACATAGACTGTTTTTGAGTGATTGAAAGGATGTGCTCAGCTGTGAGGAAGTAGAAGAAGGACTGATGAACGAGTCAGGAGACCGGGAGTTCTTCTAATAGTGGCGGGACTACTAACATCATGTGATTTGAGGCAGTCACTTTGTCTCCACCCTGTGCTAGCTCAATTTTCTCACCAAGGGACTCAGAGCAGATGCTCTTGAAGGTCCTTTGGAAGGTTCCCATTCGGTCACCTCCGTGTGGTTTCTAACTCTGGAAGAGAAGGTTTAGAAGCAATGTCATTCCTATTTCACGTTCCTCCTAATGTTGAGAATTTGTCACTGCTTGTGAGACTTTGCTGTCATTGGATATAACCAAAGAGAAATCAGCTCTAGGTAGTTTTACTGAATAGAAGCCGGCTTGAAGGAAGATCTTTGGTGACTATCAGACCCTATTTGTTTAGCATTCTGTTTTTATTTGATGTGTGCCAAGTACAGCTGTTACTCCCAGGGAAATGTATGGACTTGGAACTGGAAGGAACCTAATCTAACTCCACCTTCTGTGTAAAGAATTGAAACATTAACAAATGCCTATAGCACACATTTTAGGTGCCAAGCAATGTTCTTAAATGCTTTACGTGTATTAATTTCCTTAATCCAACAACCTTCTGAAGTAAGTCATCTATTAAAATTACTGAGGAGCAGATAAATTGCCCAAAATTATGTGCTAGATAGTGGCAGAGCCAGGATTAAACCCAGGCAACCTGCCTACATTGGGGCTATTACTCATGTTCATACAGCTGCTTTGCGCCTGCCCTTTCTATCATCCATACTAAAATGTTTCACTAAATGGAAAAAATCCTAAGAACCCTTCTGTTGTTCATTTCCTCTGGTTTTGTGTCAAGCAGTTTTGAGAGTTGCTCCAGTAACCTGGTTGCACATGACTAATGAAATGAACACAAAAGCTTTTGTGTTTGATTGAACTGAGTGACCCAAGAAAAGCTAAGAGCAGTTGACTGGCCTTAGAGACATCTGTTCTGTTCTTTTTCTTAGTTCTCAGGATTGCGCAATGGATTGTGAAATGAGTCTGTGTGCAGGTTGTTATTTGGGATTACCTTTATGGATGAAATGCAGAATGTTTTAGGGATTAAAATACTTGTCTGTCTCCATTGTTGTTGGTGAGCTTTTGCTCACTAGATGTGGGAATGAGTGAAACAGGAGTGCCCCTGCCGGCACACCACCACCACCACACCCTCAATTCTGCCGCCGTTTGCTCTCGGGAACAGGTTCATAGGTGGTGGTTCCAGTGCAGTGTGAGCCCAGCTGCAGTTTTGGGCTGCTACAGCTCAGACTACTTCAGGAGTGTACTTGGACTCTCTTGTCCTGTTTGGAGTGTAGCTAGAAAAGAGTCCCCACGAAAACATGCACAGAAAAACCCACTGTCTTAAATGCACACAAGAAAAATGTACACACAGAAAAATAGAAAATTTCTCATATAAAAAGGGTTAGGGTTAGGGTTTGGGCTAGGGTTCGAGTTCAGGTCCAGGTTAGAATTTTCTACTTTATAATAATGTGAATCCTAGAATTTTTCTTTGTGGCTGTTTTTCATGTGGGTATTTTGGGATGTGAGCAGTTTTCCACATGTTGCTTTTTTCTTGTGGTAGCATGGTGGCTCCATACAATAAGCTCCATACAATAAGATTGGCGGTTTGAGACCACCAACTGCCTGGTGGGAGAAAGATGAATTCTGTTCCAGCAAAGATTGAAAGTCTCAGAAACTATACACAGGGTCGCTATGAGTCAGAATCAGCTCAGCGACACTTAACAACAACACATTTTTCTTGTGCACATTTTTGACAGCGGGCTTGTTCTCTGCACACTTTTCATGTGTGCTTTTGTTTTCATAGAACCATTAAACTGCTGCCCCACAAAGGTTTTCTTGGCAGTGATAGTTGAGAAAGCAAATCACCATCTTTCTCGCAAGGAGCTACTGGTAGATTTGAACTGCTGACCTTGCGGTTAGCAGCCCAGTTGCAATCCACTAAGCCACCAGGGCTCTTTTCTGTAGCAGTGGCCACCATGAATACGAAAAGATCTGTCTGCTGCAGAGCCCCTGGGTGGGTCCATACTGTGAACTCTTTGGTTAAACAGTTAACCATTATACCAGCAGGGCTCCATGTAAGTGTAAGAATTATATTTTTTCCCTTAAATCAGAGTTGTTAAAATTTGTAGATTATCCTTCAGAGTAAAAAATGTCTGTTATTGTGAAGTTCCATTGAGCCAGCTCTGACTCATAGTGACCCTTTCTAAGGTTTCTGAGGAGCAGCTGGTGGGTTTGAACTGCCTATCTTGAAGTTCAAACTGATCTTGTGGTCCAGTGCTTATCCTACAGCACCACACCAGGACTCAAAAAAATGTCTGTTGTTGTTGTTAAATGCCATTGAGCCAATTCCGACTCGTAGTGATTCTGTGTAAGGGTTTCCAAGGAGCAGCTGGTGGGTTTGAACTGCAGGCTTTGTGGTTGGCAGTCCAGTACTCATCTTACAGCACCATACATGGACTCGCTTTTGTTAAGCAATATCAAGTTACTCTAAAGTAGAGGGATGCTATGAAACGGAGGATGTATTCATACCATATTTGGCATATTCTTAGTTTCCAGGTCAGTTTGAACTGCAAGGTTGGTGGTTCAAGCTCACCAGCCGCTCCTTGGAAACCCTA